AAACAGAAGACCTGTCTCCTGTGTGAGCGTGCCAGAGTCTTCCCACCTGTGGCAGCGTGCCCGCCGCCCACCCGACATTCACTCCCACTTCTTTCTGGCCTATGGAACTGCTCCCTCGTTGGGGCCGCTAAGCCCCGGGGATGTGCTATGCGTGGCTAGGACCAGCCGTGACACCCGGGTTCCTAGCCGCCTCTGGTGGGGGGTCACGTGCTCCGTTCTGGCCACGAAGGCCTAGGGTAGGATCTGCGGCAGAGGCTCCTCGGAGAGGTTTCTCTCTTCCTATAAAAGGAGGCAGATGCAGGGCGCCTGGGGGGTTGTCGGTCAAACATCTTCCTTCAGCTCAGATCACGATCCCGGGTCCTGGGATCAAGTCCTGCGTCGGGCTCCCTGCTCCGCGGGGAACCTGCTCCCTCTGCCTCTGCTCCTCCCCCCGCAGGTGCACGCTCACACATACTCTCTCTCTAATAAATAAAATCTTAAAAAATAAAAATAAAAAGGGGACACGTGACCGGGCCTGCCTCCTCTTCCTTTTCTTTTCTTTCTTTTTCCCTTTCATGCCTTGACTGCGGCGCGTGAGCTATGTTGGAAGCTCCGGCAACCACCTTGTGAACCACGAGGACAAAAGCCAAGCCTCCTGCTAGCAGTGTTGGAGCGGAGAGACTGAGTGTGGTCCTGGACGGGGATAGCCCCCACCTCTAGATTTCAGGTTATATGAGGAAAATGAGCCACTATGAGGTTAATCTCTTAATTGTGCTACCGGAGCGGAATTGATTCCTAGCACGCCATCCCTACCTGGACACACCCTGGACTTGCTCTGCAGATGGATGCTGGGATCCACACCGTGCCCCGGGCCTTACAGAGGCCCTCACTTTTGGGCACCCGCCCGCCACTGGGCGCTACGTCCTCAGTCAGGATCCTTGGCTGTAAAAGCAACGGGCACCCAGCGTTGGGTGAGAAGCTAAGACACGGCCTGGCGCATGAGGGCAGGCGGCCCACGGATGCCACAGGCGGTCTGAGAGCCTTTCCCAGCGGGCGGCGGGAACCCGAGGCAGCGGGCCCCCAGCAGGTGCACCCCGCGCGGTCCAGGCGTGTGGCCTCCCGGCATTGAACCCTCTGCTGTGGGCCCCAACTCTCCGTTGGGTGCTGCTGCTGGTGACCCCCCGAATCGGGGTCTTTCCTATCACCACTTCCAGATACATCTATCCCACTTCCAGAAACGTCTGCCGTGCTGGCGGAGGCCGGGCTGCAGGGCTGGGGGTGGGAGGGCAGAGCGGCCAGCGGCTCGCATCACGCTTCCCGAATCCAGAGGCCTGGGGCTGCGTGAGCCGGGCTGCGCGGGCTTCTCTCCGGCTCCCAGCCCTGCCACCGCAGACGCCCCCTTCGCGTCCACACGGGCCCGCCGTGAGGGGCCAAGTTCCCCAGCACCTGAGACCTGCACCTCCGCCCCACGACCCGGGCCTCCAAGGGATTAGACCCCGGGTCGGGGAGGACCATGTTCTGATGGGCTGAGGCCCGGGCTGTCTGGCCAAGCACCTGGAGGGAGGCTGTGGCACTGCGGGGGCCTGGGGGGCAGGTGTCCCCCAGGGCTAGGGGGCAGGACCTAGCTCAGGAGCGCCGCGGCGTCCCATCTGTCCTATCCTACTGGTCACAGATGTGGGCTGGTACGTGTGGGAGGGGACCTCAGGGACACGTGCACCGGAGGTGGCCCACCACCCCTGGCTGCTGCAGTGTCTGTCTGCCATCTACGCGTTAGTCTCAGAAGCTAATTAGCAGTTTTGATATTTATTTATATTTTAAAGATTTTATTTATTTATTCATGAGAGACAGAGAGAGGCAGAGACACAGGCAGAGGGGGAAGCAGGTCCCCGCAGGGAGCCCAGTATGGGATTCAATCCCAGGACCCCGGGGTCACGCCCTGATCGAAGGGAGGCGCTCAACTACTGAGCCACCCAGGAGTCCCTGTTAATTTTTTAAAGATTTTAGGCTCAAAAAAATAAAAATTAAAAATAAAAAAAAAAAAAGATTTTAGGCTCCTCTGACTGAGCCAGCCGGGCGCCCCAGCCAATTTTGTTATGAAGCTGCCTCAAATCCATCCTCAGGTCCATGGAAGGAGGTTGAGGGTCACACCTAGAGCGTGGCTCCTCTGTTGGGATTCTTCTGGAAACCGCTATGGGACATCCTTCAGCCACAGATGGCCTCAGCCTGTCGGGTGTAGACAAATAACTCCCTTGGATACTTTCCAGATTTCTTTTGCTGAAAACAAATCCCTTTTTGTGACTCCCTCAGATCTTGTCTGTCTTGGTGATTTAGGCAAAAGAACAATCCACACTGTCCCAGCAGCCTTGTCAGGCCTCAGGGAAGGTCAGGCCCCCCGCCCCCACCCCAGTCCCGAGACCGCCTGTCCCCTGGGAGGCCTGGGCTAGAGAGGCCAGGGGCCAGACCCTGTGGCCTGCGGGGGCCTCCCGGACCGACGGGTGTCCACTATCATGGACAAATGAGCCAGCTGCCAAGGACAGCGGCAGCTCTGATGACACCGTATGGGGAATGGCCCAGAGCCAAACCAGGGAGCATCCGGGAGACGGGAATCGGGCCTTCAGCGCTGGGGACCCGTTACATCAGCCACCCAGGGTCAGGAGATAATTTGTCAGCTCTCTGCCCCACGTGGCCCCTGTGGAAATCAAACAAGCAGTCCTGCCCATTTTTAGAGATAAATTAAATGCATCAATATAAAAAAGTCAGGCAGCAATGCAGAGGGGAGAGGGTGGAGAGGTGCACGGAGCTGTGATTTATTGGCTCTTTAATAAGTATTTCTGGGGCTGCCCTGGCCGCCTCCCGCCCACCTGACGGTGCCCGCGAGCCTCTCCACGGAGCTCACGAGTGGAGCTGCCACTCTGAATTGCCACCCACCAGCCAGAGAGGCGGATCTCCTCCCAGCTGGTGCCCGGGGCATCAAGTACAGACTGCACTGGGATCCAGATGGCGGAGGAGGGAGGGAGGCAGGCCAGGGCTGTCCTGAGGGAGGGTCTCACCGGCTACCCCCAAGCTGTACTCCCTCGGGTCCTCAGGGTCAACCTGCGCGGTCACTGCCCTCCCTGCTCCCGTGGGCGCCTCTCCCCGGCACCCACCCTGCGATGTGTACCAGCCCGGTGGGTGAGAAATGACACTCCTGGCTGCCTGAAGGCTCATGTCTGAGCCTGGGGGCTGGAGTGCGACCTGGGGTCACAGTGGAAGGTCTGCTTGCAGCCACGGCCTTTTCTTGCTGATTAATAAAGACCCTCTGGGGCAGCTCGGGTGGCCCAGCGGTTTAGCGCCGCCTTCAGCCCAGGCCGTGATCCTGGAGACCCAGGATGGAGTCCTGTGTCAGGCTCCCTGCATGGAGCCTGCTTCTTCTCCTGCCCATGTCTCTGCCTCTCTCTGTGTCTCTCATGAATAAATAAATAATCTTTAAAAAAAATAGGGATCCCTGGGTGGCGCAGCGGTTTGGCGCCTGCCTTTGGCCCAGGGTGTGATCCTGGAGACCCAGGATCGAATCCCACGTCGGGCTCCCGGTGCATGGAGCCTGCTTCTCCCTCTGCCTATGTCTCTGCCCCTCTCTCTCTCTCTGTGTGTGTGTGTGACTACCATAAATAAATAAAAATTAAAAAAAAATAATAAAGACCCTCTGATGCGTTGAGAATGTTAACATTTTGTCCTGTACGTTACACGTCGCGGCCGGGTTCGTTGCTGCGCTGGCTCCGGGTGGGGCTGGGAGGGGGCCGACCTTGATCTGGAAGGTGGTCTGCAGATTTATGGTGGATTTATATCCACTCCTTTATTGTCAACCGATACTTAGGGAGGGCCTCCTGGGAACCGTGCAGGATGCAGCTGGACACACAATGGGCAGAGAGAATTCACAGCCTAGTAGAGGGAAACAGACTGACAAACAAGGAAGCTACAGTGTCACAGGGGATGTGAGCAGGGGAGGGGATGAAAGTGGAAGTAGGGGCTGGAGGAGGCCCCCCGACAGGAAGACATGTGAACGAAGATCCGAAGGACATGGGGCACCCAGATGGAGGGAAAAGAGGGGTCCCCAGAGGTATGGACAGTGTAAAGGCCCTGGGGTGAGTGCAGGCCTGGGTATCTTCCAGGAGCGGACCTGGCGCATGACAGTTAGTGGCCAGGAGATAGACGGTGGGGGACAGAGCAGGGGAGCGGGCACAGGACGTGGGCTGTGGGTTCCTGGGAGGGCTTTGGCCTCCCCTCTGAGGGCTGGGTGGGCAGCCGTCCATTCTCTAGCAACGCGTGTGCACGGCTGAGCGGGATTCCCAGTTTGGGCCGAGAGCACTGAGGCTGCGAGCTGAGCGACTCTCACAGGCTCGCCTCCGGGCCTCCGAGGGCCTCCGAGGGCCTCCTCCGCCTGCGGCGCCGCCCTCCCGCTCCCCGCTAGGACCTGGGGCTCCCGAGGCACACCCAGGGGAGCAGAGGCCCAGGCCAGGGCCGGCCCCCAGGACTCTGCAACAGGGCGGGGAGGGCGGGGGGAGGGGTGTTATCGGCCTGGGGTGTGGTGTGCGTGTCCCTCCCAGGGCGCCGGGGTCTCCCTGTGGGTCAGCGCGGCGGGGTCACAGTGCGGGGGGTGGGGGCTTCTCAGCGCGGAGGCCGCCGTCGGTGCGCAGGCCCGGCTCCCGCGACAAGGGACAAGGTCCCGAGGTCCAGGGTCCCCGCGGGCCTCCGGGAGGCCGGCGCGTCATCTCCGCCGCAGGGGCCCCGGGCTCTCCCGAAGCTGACCCAGTGGGGGCTCTGGAACCCCGTGCGCTGGGCCCGGGGGTGGGAGGGGGGAGGGGAGGAGGAGGGGAGCGGGCGAAGGGAGGGGCGGGGGAGGGGAGGCCGCCCCGCCCGGACCGGCCCCGCCGCGGCCTCGCAGGCCCGGGGACGCCTTTGTCTCGCAGCGCGCGCGGCCAGACGCCGCCCCCGCCCCCGCCCCCGCCCCGCCCCAGGGGCCCCTCGGCGGTCCGGCCCCTCCTTGGGCACCGCGGCGCCGATTCTCCCGCAGTAACATTTCCGCGGCTTCGCAGCGCTTCCTGCTCCCGGTGCAGGTTAGAGGGTCCGGGCGCCCGGGGCCGAGGAGGGGCGGGCGGGCACCGATCGCGGGGCGCGGGGGGCGGGGGGGGGCGGGCCCGCCTGCAGGACCCCGTCCGAGCCCCGCCACGAGGCCGGAGCGCGCGCAGGCTCCGGCGCAGGCCAGGGGCGCGCCCCACGCGAGGACCCCGGGCGCCCCGGGGGGACGAGGGTCAGCCGGGGGCGGCCCCTCGCGGCGGGGGCGGGGCTGCAGGTGGGCCCGGTGCGCACGCGCCCGCCGCCCCGCGTGATTGGCCCGGGCTGCCGCGCTCCCGACCAATGAGCACGCGGCCCCAGGGCCCGGCGCGGGGCGGCTCCGCTGCGGTCCTTCCGCGGGCGGGTGGGCCCCGAGTGGGCCCGCGAGCCCCGCGATGCGCTGCGCACCGGCCCGCAGCCTGCTCCGCCCGAAGCGCGCAGAGCGCCACGGCCCCCGCGCCTCTGCGCACCCCGCCGGCATCCTGCCGTTCCCAGGCCGCAGGCTTTAGAAGGCAAACCAGCCCCCCTCGTAAAAACCAGTCGGCGGCGGTGGGGCCGGCGGCAAAGACAAAATGTGTTCTCCTCCGTCGCTTATAGATCATCTTCGAGGAATCCATAATTTGTGATGAAATTATTACTTGTTGAAATGCTACATGATAATAATAACACGGAGACAAGAAGCAAGTGATGATGGGGATGCAGAGAAATGGGCGCCCGCGAGCAGTGCTGATGCAGCCCTTCTGGAAGCCTCTGTCCACTCAGGGCGCTGGAGAGGGGATTGCCTCCCTCTCCCCCCCCCAGGGCACACCCAGGGGCTGAAAGCAGGAGCTCCACAGATCCCGGTGGCCAGTGTTCACCGCACCGGTCCTCACCATAGGGAAGGGGTGGCAACAGCCCAGGCGTCCATCAGCAGAGGAAGGATAAGCAAAATGTGGTCCATCCACACAGCCGAATATTACTCATCTTTAAAAAGGAAGGACATTCTGACACCTGCCACAGTGTGACGAACCTCGAGGACAGATGCTAAGGAACGGGGGTCAGACAGGAAAAGACAAGCCTATAATTCTGCCTACATGACACATTTAGCACAGGCCAATGCATTGAGAGGGAAGGTAGAGGTTAGCGGGGCCTGGGGGACGGTGGGCCAGGGGCTTGTCGCTTACTGAGTACAAAGTTTCTGTTTGGGATGACGGAAAAGTTCTGGGAAGGGTTGTGCACATGGTTGCACGACGATTTGAATATGCTCCAATATTCACAGTGCCACTGAACTGTGCACCTAAAAGTGATTTTAAAATGGCTAGTTTAGGGGCACCTGGGTGGCTCAGGGGCTGAGCGTCTGTCTGTCTTTGGCTCAGGGCGTGACCCCGCGGTGCCTGGATCGAGTCCCGCATGGGGCTCCCTGCACGGAGCCTGCTTCTCCCTCTGCCTGTGTCTCTGCCTCTTTCTCTCTGTGTGTCTCTCATGAATAAATAAATAAAATCCTTAGAAAAATAAAACGACAAGTTTAATATCATATATATTTTACCGCAATTTTAAAAATTAACGATGTAATATACCCAAACCATGGAGTCGTACACTTCAAACGGGTGAATTGTATGGTGTGTGAATTGTAGCTCAACAAAGCTGCTGAAATATTTAAAGCAGTAATATTGGAGAGAGCGTGTGCCGGCGGCTCCGGGAGCGCGCCTGACCCCGGGAGGCCCACGGGGCGGAGGTGCTGAGGACTCCTGCGGCGGCTGGGACGCGCACCCTCTCCATCCTCCCCTGCGCGCCGTGAGCAGGGCCTGACCCGGGAGCACCCCACCCGAGGCCGCGTCCGCGGAGGGGCGCACAGCCGCACCTGCTGGGAGGCAGCCAGACACCGCCCCCCCCCCCCCCGGGCCCCTGCAGGCCGGCCCCGCCCCGCCCCGCCCCGCCGCCTGGGCATCCAGGCAGGAAGCCCGCAGACTCCCCAAAAGGCATCTTGCTCGTGACCTCCCGTCCGGTCGGGAGCGCGCGGCGGCCAGGCCAGGCGGGGGTGGGAGGGCCGGCTCCCCGCCCCGCGGTCCTGCCGCCCGCCCCTGCCGCCGCGGCCGCTGGAGGGCGCCCCCGCACCGCTCCTGCCGACCCGCGGGCTCCCGCCGGGACGGCCCTCGGCGGCGCCGGAGCTTGATCTCCTGGTTAGGCTCGGCAGGGGCGGGAGGCCGCAGCCGTCTTCAGACGCGGTGTCCAGACCCCCCGGCGGCCGCCTCCCGCCCCCAGGCTGCACCGCAGCTCCCCGTGGGGGCCGCGTAACCGCACGTTCCTGCCGGGCCCGTGCGCTCAGCTCTCAGGGAAGCTGGACGGACCGCCCTTCGCTTCCTTGGCCGGCCAAGACCCATCCATCCCCCCCAACACCTCTGTGCCTCAAAACTCTCCCCTGGGGGGGGTCCTCAGCAGGTGACATGTGAGCAAGAACCAAGAGAGGGACCCTCTCCCTGCCCCTCCCGACCTCTCCCCCAGCGGGCAGGACCTCTGGCTGCAGAGCTGGGCCTGGAGCGTGGGCCGCCTGCCTGCACATCCACGCTGAGCCCCCCCCCCCCCCCCAACGGGCTTCTCATCTTCCAGGGAACTGGCCCAGGCTAATGGCTGCAAGTGGGATCCCGGGCCAGCCCGTAACCCAGACACTGGCTAACCCCAGTGCCCTTTCTCGGCCTCTGCCCCGGGGCTCCTGAGTGCCGGCAGATGGAGGGCTCCCGCTGACCACTCTGTCCTCCGTGGCCGATTACTGATAGGACCTCGTCTGCCTCAGGTGGTCCAGTCATAGTCACTTGACATCAAGGGACAGTCGTGGCCTGGCTGTTCAGGGTGACAGTGAGAGCACTGCTGCGCTGGCGTGTGATGAGCAAGAGCCCTTTGGCGAGTACCTGTGCAGGGATGGCCGCCGGCTGGGGAGCCTCGTTTGACTCACTGGGACCCTGCCCCCCCCCCCCCCCGGGCAGCCCCAGGCGAGGCCAACAGCCCGGGCTCTGGAGGACGGTGCTGAGGAGGTGGCCCTGCTGGAGTCGGGGCACAGGGTGCGGCTTGGGCACCGGGCGCTCCAGCAGCTACATGGTCTCCGGGCAGTGGGGCAGTGGCCGGCTCTAGGTCAGCGGGGTCACAGAGCAGCCAGCCCCTAAATCGTTCTGGGCCTGCCCGAGGGGGAGGCTTCCGCTGCAGGTGGGTGACTGGGGGCCTCGCTATCACCTCCGCAGTCTGTTTCCTCTTTCCTCTGCTGGCTCCCCGGCCTCCTGGGGCCGTCTCCTCTCTACGTGGAGCCTCCCTGCTTCCGGAGGCCTCCGTGTGAGAGCAACAGAATACCCCTGAAAGGAGCCTGTGGTGCAGGGAAGCTTCTGGTGCCTCCTCAGTGTGTAGGGCAGGCAGCTGAGAAGCCCAGAGTGCCTGAATCTTAGGTGGAGAAAGGGGTCTCACTCGGCGAGCCAGCGTGGGGAGGAGGCCCCCTTACCACGCCCGGAGTCTCCTCCACCGCACCCCTGGGCTGGCTTCTCTTCCTTGGTGTGGGCAGCAGAGGGTCTTTGCCCCTAAACAGGACGTAAAGGGGTGCATCCCACTGGCATCTTCACCCCGAACTCTCACCAAGGGGACGCCCCGAGAGACAGGTGTGCAGTCCCCTTGCCTTTGCTTCCCTTCTTCCTGTGGCTATGCCCAACCACCCGGACGGGGACTGTTTAATTGATTCAATTTGTCCAACAGTAAAAACACTGCAGATGTCAGCCTCCCAGCACCCCGCCCCCAGGGAGGCAGCAGACACCTGCCAAGGCCCTGGGGCTGGGAGTCCTTCCAGGGGCCACTATGGCCAGGCTGCGGGGGAGGCCCCTGGCTCCCATGCTGCTTGTTGGGAATGGCTAAGGGACGGCTCCAGGCGGCGCAGAGGCATGCTGAACGAGGATCAGATCAGTCTGTCTTTCTCAAAGAATTATGGTTCGTACGGACTCCCAGTTCCAGGCAGATGACTCTTGTTTTGGTGGAGACGCTACTCCTGGGCCAGTGGTAGGGTTCCCTGTTCTCCATCAACTAGGTCCTGGGGGCTTTTCCAGGCCAGTGGGGGATGGGAGCAGCTGAGGGTTCCCTGGGCTTGACTGCCCCCTTCCTAGGGCTAGGGCCCCTCGCCGGGGCTTGGTGGTCTCCCTGTTGCCACCTGGTGTGAGGAAAGCAGTTGGGCCTCTGAGCTCCCAGGTGGCTGGGGACCCGAGGCCTGTGCAGAACATGGTAGCCCGGTGTCTACAGCCTGGGGACCCCTGCTGCTGCCCGTCTGCCTGTGGGATGTGTCTGTGGCCATGGCCACACTGGGAGATGCTTCTAGGGGGAAGGTGCTGGGCCAGGAGGGAGACTCACCCTGAGTCCCTGAACCCCTGGCCCAGCCCGGAGCCCCAGTGTGGGCCCCCACCTCCAGAGCCACCCCTTTCCACCCCAGAGGGGGACCACTGGGAGAGAGAGCGAAGAGCAGGGGTGACTTAGGGAGGGGCTTCTCTCTGCGCCCTCACCACCCCTCCAACGCCGTCAGGGGAGGGCTGTCACCCTGAATTTGGGGTCGGCCCTCCCCCACCGCACCCTCAGGAAAAGCCCGGGCCTTTCCATCATCGACTGGTTACATTTTCAAGGATCCCAGGCTCTTTCCTCCAGCTCCTCGGGGACAGGGAGAAAGCAAGGGTAAGGGGACCGCGCGACGGGGGACACGGAGGGCTCGTCCAAGGTCAGAGCCCGCGCAGGCCGCGTGTCGGGCCGCAGGGTCGTTCTCCTGCGTGTGGACCAGCGGGCGGGGGGGCCGGGCCCCGCAGCGGCCACTTCGGAGGGGCGGCGGGAGGCAGCCTGCGCCCCCCCCCCGCCAGCTCCCCCGCGGCCCGGGCCCCGAGCTCCGGGTGGGGGTCCCCGGGGGCGGGAGCGGGAGGTGGGGCGCCCGGCGCCGAGGAGGAGAGAACAAAAGGGGGCCCCGCCCCCTCCCGGCCCGCCCGCGGCGGCCAATCGTCGCAGCCGCTGCAGACGGCGGCCTCTGATTGGCTGCGCGGCGGCCAATCCGGCGCCGGGCCCGCGAGCTCCTGCGGCCCCACGTGGGGCGGTGCGCGCGGCGGTTCGCGGGCCGGGGCGGGCGGGGCGTGCGGCTCGGGGCCGCGCTCGGGGACGGGACGGGGCCGCCCCGGGCCCCCCGAGCGCCCCGGGCGCGCGCAGCGCTGTGCCGGCTTCTGGCTGGTGTGCACGCGCGGGGTGAGGTGAGCGCCTGTCCGGGAGGAGGCCGCGCCCCCCGCCCCCCAGCGCTGCACCCCCAGGCTAGGCCCGGAGGCCGGGCAGGTGGTGGGGAGACCGGGTCTGCAGCCCTGATGCAGCGCGCTCCCCACCTGGCCCCTAGACGTGCTGGGGTGGCCCCGCCGCGGCCGGGGGGCCTCTCCCGGCTTCCATGAGTTGCTCCAAGCTCCTGCAAGAGGCACATGCCGGAGTGGCCTTTGGCATGAGTCAGGGCCGGGGCGGTGCATTTGTCCGGCGCCCTTCGCCGGGCATTTGAGCGCAGGCTCGGATAAATGGAAGTCCCACGCGTGAAAGGAGAGTGGGCGCCGTCCCCAGGGCGGGCAACAAAGGGAGGGCTACCGGCTACCCCTCCAGGCCTGAAGGGCGCGGGACTCACCGGAGCCGCACAGCCAGGGGGGCTGTGACCTTGGGCAGAGGGACACAGAGACCCGGCTGGCAGCAGAATGGATGGTGCAGTGACCCGGCTTCCCGCCTGCTTTCCCTGCCTGCAGGCTCCTCACTGTCTCAGTCCAGCCCCAGCGGGCGGGGAGTCCCCATCGATACCTGCCTCTGGCTACCGTGCAGGGCAAGGCAAGGCGGGGGTAAGGTGTCCCCGGCTTGTCCCGAGGTGTGAATAAGGTCACCTCTGAAATGCTGCCGTCCCTTTACGGCAGTGGCCTACAACCTGAGTGAGACCCATGTGCGTCCTCCGCAGAGGGTGGGGCAGGGCGCCGCTGGGCCCTGTCTACTGCACAGCCCTTGGGAGCCTCTCCTGCCGAGACAGCCTGCACATGGCGAGTGGGACACAAGGCAAGTTGGCGAACAGAGCGAACAGAGCTCCCGGCAGTGCGCATGAGCAACACCTTCAGGGGCCTCCCCCTCCAGGAGGCCTTCCTGGATGCTTGTTTTCATTCAAGCGTTGCCGTGGGGTCCATAAATCGCAGTCATAGGGATTGCCCTTGTTCTCGGTCCTCTCTCCTTGGGGCCTGTGTCTGCTGGGTGCTCAGTACACGCTGGAGGCTGAAGGGACCCTGCTCTTTGCCTGGGTGAGGCCAAAGACAGGTCTTCCCTGGAAGTAGGGGCATTTGTTCCCCTCAATAAGCCTTTTGTTTTGTTTTGTTTTGTTTTGTTTTAAGATTTATTTATTTATTACTGAGAGACACAGGGAGAGAGAGAGAGAGAGGCAGAGACACAGGCAGAGGGAGAAGCAGGCTCCATGCCGGGAGCCCGACGTGGGACTCGATTCCGGGACTCCAGG